TCATGATGAAGCACGGTGGTGGCAGCGTCATGACGAAGCACGGTGGTGGCAGCATCATGATGTGAAGTTAAATGAAGACAGCCCTGATGGTGGATGTTGTGTGTTGTTGTGTAGCTGCTGTGAGTTCCTCCGTCTGACTGGAAGCACTGATAATGTTTCAGTGGATTGTTCTGTTATTATTAGCCATCAGAACCAGAACCAGAGTTCTGCCTGCAGCTGCTCAGTCAACACACCATGGAGTGTGTGACGAGGCCGCTGGGCACAACATCAACACACAAAACAACTGCAAACACAAGCGTCTGCCTCTGTGATGGCTTTGTGTCTCAGGAGGGAACCTGGCCGTGTTCTGTGTGTGTTTGTGTGTCTGTCTACATGTTGTCTGTCCTTGTGGTAAGTTTGTGTGTCTTTGTACTAATTTTGTCTCTGTGGTCATTTTGTGAGTGTTTGGAGTCCTTTTGTGTCCCTGTGCTGGTTTGTGTCTCTTCTCAGTTGCTTTGTGTTTGTTTTTGCGTCTCTTTGAGGTCGGTTTGTGGGTCTCTGTGTCGTCACCGTGTTGTTTTTGTGTGTTTGCAGTCATTTTGTGTGTCTTTGTATCTGTGTTGTGTCTCCCTCTGTTCTCGCTTTGTGCATCTTTTTGAGTCTCGACAGACACTTTGTGTCTCCTTGTGGCCGGTTTGTTAATTTTGTGTGTCTGCAATCATTTTGTGAGTCCTTGTCGTTGTGTTGCGTCTCTTGTTGTGTCTCTCTTATTATTTACTGTCTGTAGTTGTGTACATGTTTGTGTCCTGTTTTGTGAGTCTTTCTAGTCATTTTGTGTGTCTGTAGTTGTTTTGTGGATATTTTCTGTCATTTTATTATTTTTAAGTGTTTTTTTTCTGGTCTTGTTTCCAGATTTTCTTGCAGTATTTTATTTGCTCTCCAGTGTTTGTCGTTGCCAGTCTGCTGCCGTGTGGACTCACGTGCATGCTGGAAGCCCGTCCTCATGCGCTTGTACAGCTTGCTCCTCCACTCCCAGGCCCTCAGCTGCTTGTCCTTGTGGCAGGCCTCCAGCGAGAGGCCGTCCCTCTGGGCCTGAGCCGCCAGGTCGGCCGCCCGTCGCTCCGCCTCCACCACCAGCGAGCTCAGGTGGGCCTCGCGACTCTCCACGCTCACGACTGCAACACAACGCACAGGCTTGGAACCACAAAAACACACCACAACAACGCTGAACTGCAGGCAGGTTTAACTTCAGCTCGTATCAACACAACAATAACACAATAATTATTCCATAAATATCTCAAACTCTCAGAGCTGACGGTCGAGAGGCACGGCGCCAAAACTCAATGCCAGCTTCAAAAAAATGATTGTTTTAAAGTCAGACAAATGACAAAACGTCTGTCGCACAAAACCAGCACAAAACACCAAAAATCTACATTTCCCTTTGCTCCTGTGTCGTGTTTCTCACTGTGGCTCATATTCCACTGCAGAGAAAAAAGTCTTCTGTCCAGTTAGAATCACACAAGTCAGAAAATAAGAGACTTCTTTGAATTTCACAAAAACTGGGGGAAAAAAACTGGACTCTCGTCACATTTTTGTCATTTTGTGTCTCATTCAGTGTCTCATTTTGTCATTTTTGTTGTTGTTGTGTCTTGTTTTTTCTCGTTTTGTGTATTGTTTTTGTCATCTTTAGCCTCGTTTCTGTTGTTTTGTGTCTTGTCTTTTGGTTTTGCGTTGGATTATATATTTAAGTTTTGGTTCTCGTAAAATCTTTCTGCAAATACGGGAAGCCTCTAAGGATGGAAACACACTGATTCATATATTACATGGCCAAATGTATTTGGACACCGTTTGGACCAACATCATAGTAATCACATGAGCTGAAACCTCCAGCTGTCCACATACTTTTGGCCAAGTAGTTATTCGTTACAGAGAAGTGTCTGTTTATTCACTATTTGATAAAAAGTATGTGGACACCTATTGCCATACTTTTGGACATAGAATTTATTTATTTCAGTTACATAGTTTAGAGAAGTTAAAGTGACAAAAGTATGTGGACGATTTGGAATCAGTTTTAATTAATTACGAATAAACAGAAACCTCCAGCTGTCCACATACTTTTGGCCTGGTGGTGTTTGTCACTCTGCCCGTAAACACCCAGCGAGACATAAATCTTTATGTTCCTGCAGCTCGCCGTGGCCAAACGTGATGCCGCGGCGCTCTGACGGTAACGCCGGTGAAAACAGCCTCAGTGTCCGTGTGCGTTCCTGAACATTGGTCACGCTGAAGCGCTGCCAGCTCCGACTCTGAAGCTCCACTGCTGCTGCTGCTCGGCGTCCAGCTCTGAGTCATGGAGCCTGACAGCAGCATAAACAAACAAACAAACAAACAACAGCCTCATTCACTCGCAACATTCAACCTGCAGGATTTCATTTAAGCAGAGAGACGAGTTCAGCTGCTGAGGCCCAAGAAGAACGCAGATGGTCCTAAAATACAGCGAAGCAGGTTCTAGCCTTCAATATGGACGAAAGGTTTCGCTAATTAAACCCTCAGCCCACAATATTCCTCAAAAACATCCCAAAAATTATTTTAAAAACTTTGTTTTTCTGGTGATTTTAGCTTTACTGAACAAAAAAATCTATAAAATGTGACAACAAGGTGTCAGAAATAAAAATCCTGTCGTTGTGTAATGTTCAAACAGCACAAAAGAACCAAAAAACAACCATAAAAGAACCAAAAAACAACCATAAAAGAACCACAGAATATCTGCAGATGTCTAAACAAGGAGTTGACTGATTCATTTACAGCATTAATGAACTAATTATTGTGATTTTATAGAATTATCTGGAATTGAACAAAACAGGGTCCCCGAGGCTCCGCCCCCCGAGTGTGTGTCTGTGTGTGCTGTGTGTGTGTTGTGTGTGTCTATGTGTCTGTGTGTGTGTGTGTTGTGTGTGTCTATGTGTCTGTGTATGTTGTGTGTCTTTGTGTTGCGTGTTGCGTGTTGTGTGTGTGTGTGTGTGTGTGTGTGTGTGTGTGTGTGTGTGTATGTGTGTGTGTGTGTGTGTGTATGTTATGTGTCTGTGTGTGGTATGGAGGGGGGGGTATAAGCGTCTCTTTCAGCCCAGCCAGAGAGCCTCATTCTGGGCCGCAGACACACACACAGAGCAGCACCGATGTTCTATGCTTGTGAGGACTCTGTGGTGATTTTAAGGGTAATTTGTACGTTACAGTGAAAACAATCAGCAGAACCTGAAAAAGGCACCAAGTGACCAGAAGAAGCCGACTACAGCTGGGAACAACAGGAAATGTGAGCGCCGTGCTCTGATTGGTGAGTGGAGCTGAAGCGTGGCGGTGATGCGTTAACGTCTCGTTAACCTGAACACACTGACTCTCCTCCAGTCTCATCTCCACATCCGTCCTGACTGCTTCCTGTCCAGACTGACCTTCCAGGCCCACAGAACCAAACCTCATTTACAGGTGAGCGGGTCAGAACCCAGGTCTGGGCACTGTTGACCGACGGTTGTCATGGTGACGCTGATGTAAAAGACGCTGCAGTTCATAAAGACTCGGTTTCTGTTTCAGAGACGAACGAAGAGCTGCAGCGGAAATTCTCACATTTTAATCAGACGTTGCAGATAAAATGATTCAGTCACAATAAACCTGAGACGATTAACACCCGACAAAACAAGAATTAAAGTGAATATATTCATCACCTGTAGACTTTCCCTTCTGACATACAGACACAGAGAAACACAGAAAGATCACAAAAAAATTACCACAAAAGGCACAAAATCACGACAAAGAGACAGAAAACAAAAACACACAAAATGTCCACAAAAAACAACTAAAAGACAGAGAAACACTACTCAAGGGCAAATGACCAAAAAATGAAACAAAACAATCGCAAAAGACAAAAAAGGACAAAAAAACAACCACAAAAACATAAAAACTGATCACCAAAGGAAAGAATATTACCTCAGAAAGAGCACCAAAGGACACAAAATGCCCACTAGAGGGCAGTAAGTGACAACAAAGACACAAAATGACCACAAAAAGACAGAAAACAACTGCTAACAGACAGACAGTTAGCACAAAAACAGACAAGATGACCATCAAAGGAAAGAATATGACCTCAAAAAGTCCACCAAAGGACAGAAATGACCACAAAAAGGCTTTAAATGGTCACAAATGGTCACAAAACCGCCTCCGACAGACAGAAAATAACTACTCAAAGACAAACAACCACAAAACGACAACAAAAAGGCAGAAAACTACCACAAAAACAGACAAAATGACCACCAAAGGAAAGAATTTTACCTCAAAAAGAGCATTCAAGGACACAAAATGACATCAGAGACACAAAGCCAGAACAAAATGACGACAAAATTCACCAGAAGAGACACAAAACAACCACAAAAAGACAAATGCTGTCAGCACAACTGTAACAGTAATGTTAAATACTGTATGACCTGTATTTTAACCATTTTAAACTGAATTCTGTTTAAAACAAAGGATGCTGAGCAAAGAGCTGAATGACGAACAGAACATCAGCAAAACACAAGAAAACAGTGAAAACAAACATCTGAACTGGTCTGAAGCCATCAGAACACAACAGGAGGAAGAAGAACCTCCTTCATGACGCCCTAATCTGCCAGCAGGTGACTCTAAAACCTTAAAATAAGCCGTTAGAGCTCTGAGCAGAACCGACTCTTGGTCTCTGCGGCTGTTTCTGACCAGATCCAGTGGAGGAAACAGAAAGCAGCTGAACCCTGAGTGCTGCAGCAGCTGAGTGAGGATGAATTAACGGAGGAATAAAGGAGTGAATGGTGTTCGTACCGCCGGTGAGGAGCAGCAGACTCGACCTTCGGCTGAAAGCAGCTCTGACAGTTATTTGTTGTCAAACCGAAGCTGAAGGTGCTTCGAAGGTTACCGGCTGTGTTCTGTTTGTTTGGAGGGAGAACATTTAGTTCCATCATCGGGGAGGTAAACAAGATGCTCAGAGGACTCAAGGTTTTATGTGGCAGATAAACGAGTGAGTCGTCTGCATAGCGGCGGAGCGACGATGTTTTAGAGGACGTCTCTGTCGTGAACTAAAGGTCCATCCACTTGTAAAGACAATGTTTGTCCTTCAGTCTGCGCTTTCCAACCACTCCTATAGACTCCCAATGATGGAGTCACTGAAGGACGAATCACAACAGTCGTGAACTTTGGTTCTTTCATAGATTAATTAAAGGCCTTCTGGGAATATGATAGAATCTGTTGGACTCTTCAAATAACGAACTCACGTGTAATTAATAGTTTAATCTATGTGCAGTTCTTTTAATATGTCTGAAGATTCATCCAGGTCCTGGTTGTTCTGGTAGATTCATCGTAGCAGCTTGAGTTCCTTGAAGACGTTCCACCTCTCATCCAAGAGGCTTCATCAGATCTGATTCTTTTAATACGTGGAATTTATCTTTCATGGAAATATAATGCCCCTGTTTGGTGTATGTTTTGCAGTAAATTTGATTTTTATGGCTGAAGCTATTTTTATACCTCGTAGGACTTTGGATTAAGATGTTATATTTATTACGTACTAACTCTGTTGCTGTCTTGTTGTTTTAACAACCATTCATGAGTGTGTTCATGTAACCAAGACAATGTCCTCATGCGTCCAAGCTGTCTTGGCAATAAAACTTTTTTCTGATGCTCATCATAAATGAACATACAGAAATGTTCATATCTGGTTCAATGTCCATGTTCTCCTCAGTCGGGTTCTTCTGGTTCTGTCCACCAGCTTCTGGTCCATCTCTGACTCCTCTGGACAGAACCGCTGCAGTTCAACTAAACTTGTCGTCTTTCTGACTCAGACTTGTTCCTTCATCAGTCCACAGGTTCTGGATGGTTCCAGTCAGGACTTTGGGGAGACCAGTCTAGAACCTTCATTCCAGCCTGATGGAACCATTTCTTCACCACTTTGATGTGTGTTTGGGCTCATTGTCTGGTTGGAACATCCAACTGTGTCCAAGATCAACTCTCTGCTGATGGCTTCAGGTTTTCCTGAAGAACGTGGAGGTGATCCTCCTTCTTCATTGGTCCACCGACTTTGTGTAAAGCTCCAGGTCCACAGAGCATGATGCTGGACCTCCATGCTGGATGGTAGGTCTGGTGAGGAAACTGAAGACTGACATGATAAACATGGTTCTTAAACGTGGATGTAAACTTCTGCACATGACTGTAGGTTGATTTGAACCATTTAGGAGACATCTAAATGTATTGAATGCAGCTCTGAGGTCTGAAAGAGCAAAAATCACAGAATCCTCTCAGCCAGAAACCAACACAGCGATGTTCTCAGATCCTCTCTGTGATTATTCTCCTCAACAGCTGATCGATTGTTTTGTCTAAACGAAGACAAAAAACAGCAACGACATCTGTTTGTAGCGTCAGTAGAGCTGTCAGCTGTTTAAACTCCAACAAAACAAAACATAAGCAGTCAGAGGAAACATCATTTAGGTAAGAGGAGACGTTTGGTCTGCAAGTTAAACAACGGTCAACGTGAACACAGTTAATATTTTATCAGCAAAATGAAGTCATTTTCTCCTTGTTGTGTGACTGTCTTCTGACTCTGGAAGCAGCCTTGGATTGTCTGTAAATGAGCTGCATGTTCAGCAGGTGTTCCTGCAAAACCACAAACACCTGAAATCCAATTCTCATTTTTTATTTCTTATCAGTTCAAGCATTCTGTCGTACGGCATGGACGATATTTCTCCATCAGAGGCTATTAAAAAAGCAAAAGTATTTCTAATTACCGGCCACAAAGGAAAGCATGGAATCAGTGCGTTTCTGAATCTGAATGAAGCAAATGTTGGTTGTTTTGGGCTTCAAAATGTTTTAAGTTTATTAAAAGTGGATAAAAGAAGAGCAAAGATCAGAGGGTTTATAAAGTCAAAGTATTTCTAATCCAATCAGTCGATGGAATAACTGTTTGAATGACTGATGAGGAAACTGACACATGCAGCCCAAGTTAGAGATTCAATTTACAAAGAAAAGCACAACGTTCCAGTTTTCTGCTTGAAAACGGCTGAAATTATTCCTACAGGATCAAAACAAAGGTCGCTCATACAGCCGTCCTCAGATGTGTTCACAGCCTCCCACTAAAGAAGGAAAACAAACAGCTTCAGTCAGATAAGCTGGAACTGACAAAAGGAATAATAAATGAAAACGTAATGAACATCATGACGCTGCTTCTGAATCGTGGTTCAACAGGAATATTTAAAAAAACAAAACAGACAGAACAACCAGCCTGATGGATCCGTGAGCTACCATCTAGCTGAACAACCCTCTGAGCCAATCACTGCCATCAGGTGTTTCTGTAACTCTCAGTCAGACTTCTGCACCTGTTGACAGGTGTTCTGGTCCACTGCTCATCAGCAAAGGCCTCTCATTGGTCCACTGCTCATCAGCAAAGGCCTCTCATTGG